ATGAATGTTTCTGTTAAATTATTATTTTATACATGAATGTTTCTGTTAAATTATTATTTTATACATGAATGTTTCTGTTCAATTATTATTTTATAGATGAATGTTTCTGTTCAGTCCCTGAGACGACTTCTGTTGTGACTTGGAGCTTTGGAAATAAACTGAATTGAACTTAATTATTTCTGCTTATTCTGCTCATTTCAGCTACATTTCTACTCTTTTCGTTTCTTTCTGCCATTTTCTGCTGATTTCCACCTTTTTTTGTTGTTGCTTTCAGCAAATCTCAGCCATTCAAATTCAACTCACATTAACATTTAAGCAATGAAACTTTTTCAGTTTGGTTTCTGGTTTTTCAGTCTTAAGTCACTTTCAGCAAAAATCATTCAGCAACAAGTATCCACACTGCATCCTCACAAGGGATGACATTTATCAAGTTATCATTACTATCATTTATAGATTGGTGATTTTCAGCTGATCAAAGCAACATGGACTCATCTGAACACAAAGTACATACACTTAACAACCCGAGCAATAAAAGACACTTTTATACGAGTTGCACTTTCATGTACTTTGTAGCTGGTTATAAAAGTCTTCCTTTGGTTATCAATGAACTCGCAGGTTAAAGTTAGGCGTGTGAGAGTGATTATGAAGGAGTGAAACTGACCAATTTTATTAAAAGCCTCTCGGAGGTCTTCCAAGTCCTCTCGGGAAATCTGTGTGAAATGATTCTCCATGGTAGATTCAGTGTCGTGCACCTGAGACATACAACAGTCATATTTTTATACAACTAAATAATAATTAGAACTAAAACAAAGAACTAGGATGTATTTTAGCTAAACATTTCATTGCCTTGATATTCTGCAACAACTATTAGGTTTTTACAACTACCATGCACACATTCATATTCTTTCTGAGGAAAAAAGAAAAACGCAAAGTGAGACATGTACCGTCATATACAGCTGGGCTGCAGGAGTGGGCTTTTCCAGAACTCTGCTGGGCTTCACACCGGAGCGAAGTGGTTTGACAGCTGAGTACTTCCCTGAGGAGGAGCCACTCAGAGGCTCCCAGCAGACCTTTGGTCCTGGGACAGTTAACATTTAACACCTCAGCTGTGTCATCATGTTACTGTCCATAAAACACCGTTTATCTTTGAGCTGAGTCTAAGCAAAATATGTCATAATCTACTGATTACTTTATAATGATTTTCAAGATGGCCACCACAGCTAAGTGATCCTATAGAAAAATGTCTTTAAATCAGGTAACTCTTTGAGGACAGATTTGGTGTGGTAGTATCTGAGAGTCATCCCAACACACACACTGAGCACTAAGTGACAGCACAAGAACTGAGTTTAAAATCTGTTTTAAAATGTGTTTTTAGGGCAGCACGGTGGCGCAACTGATAGAGCTGCTGCCTCTCAGCAAAAAGGCTGCTGGTTCAAATCCTGGTCTGGGGGCCTTTCTGGGTGGAGTTTGTATGTTCTCTCTGTGCTGCGTGGGTTTTCTCCAATTTTCTCCCACAGTCCAAAAACATGCATGTTAGGCTGATTGGTAACTCTAAATTTTCTCTAGGTGTGAGAGAGAGTGAATGGTTGTTTGTCTCGTTTGTCTCTGTGTGTCCCTGTGATGGACTGGAGACCTGTCCAGGGTGTACCCAGCCTCTCACACAGTGATGGCATGGGCACCAGTGACCCCCGTGACCCAAAAAGAAAGAAGCGAGTAAAAGATAATGGATGGATAGATGGATGTGTTTTTATTTTTCAGGGCAGTTGTCAGTGGTGACCTTAATTGGGATTGTTTCTAAAAGTTTATCAGTTGTAGATGTATTCCTACAAATGTGTTTCGTCACAGGGTAATAACACACTTTATACCTTCATGCGAGATGTATATACTGTAAAGCCATACCCTGCTCCCACCTTGGCCTCTCTGACCACATCTCCATCATTCTGGCCCCTGTCTACCACCCTCCGTTGAGATGTTCCAGACCCACAGAAGACAGCCCAGCGACAGTGACTCTGTACTGCAGGACTGTTTTGCATGCACAGACAGGCAGATCTTCAAGGAGGTTGTTGTAAATGAGGAAGAACTGGATCTGGAGGAATACACATCTGCTGTCCTCGGATACAACAAGAAGTGCTACCTGAACCAGAAACCCTGGTTGAACGCAGAGGTCCATACCCTGCTGAAAGCCAGGGATATTGTCTTCAGGTCTGGCGAATCACAGGAACAGGGGAGGGCAAGAAAAGAGCTGGCTGCTGGTATTAAGAGGGCCAAAGCCACATACGCATGGAAGATCCAAGGACATTTCTCCTCACAAGATTCATGGAGCATGTGGAAGGGCATTAAGTGCATCACAGATTATAAAAGCAGAGGTGCGCAATGCCCTATGGACCCATCACTGCCTGATGCTCTCATCATGTTCTATGCCCACTTTGAAGACCCAAATAGACAACCCAGCACCAAACTCACCTCACCACCGGAAGAGGAGTTCCTCAGCATGACCTCAGCAGAAGTAAGGAGGACCTTCAAGAGGATTAATCCTCACAAAGCAACTGGCCCAGACAATATCCCAAGGAGGGTGCTGAAAGACTGTGCTGATCAGCTTTGCGAGGTGCTGGCTGACATCTTTAACTCCTCCCTCACCCTGGCAACTGTTCCCACCTGCCTGAAGACTGCCACCATCATCCCAGTTCCTAAGAGCGCTGCAGTGACTGGTCTGAATGACTACCGGCCAGTAGCTTTTACCCCGATAGTTGCTAAATGCTTTGAAAGACTGGTCATGATCCACATCAAAACAACCATCAACACCAACGAGGACCCTCATCAGTATGCATACCATGAGAATCGATCAACAGAGGATGCAATCTCCTCTGTGGTCCACACTGCTCTCACCCACCTGGAGCAGAAGGACTCTTACGTCCGTATCCTCTTTGTGGACTTCACGTCTGCCTTCAACACCATGATTCCCCAGACTCTGATGGACAAACTACTCACACTAGGACTAAGCCCCTCCCTGGGTCCTCCCTCAAGTGGGTCCTGGACTTTTTAACCAACAGACCGCAGTCTGTGAAGATCCAGAACTTCTCCTCCACTATAACCCTCAGCACTGGCTCGCCTCAGGGCTATGTGTTGAGCCCCCTCCTGTTCACTCTGCTCACTTATGAATGTGCACCTACCCATGCAGGCTGTCAAATTGTAAAGTTTGCAGATGATACAGCGGTGGTGGGATGCATCACAAACAATGATGAGTCCAGCTACAGGCAGGAGGTGGAACACCTGGAGAGCTGGTGCAGAGAGAATAACCTTCACATCAATGTGAAGAAGACAAAGGAGATGATTGTGGACTTCAGAAAGAGCAAACACACCTACCCCCCCACCCCACCTCCCACTGAACATAGGAGGATCTGAGGTGGAAGTGGTCTCCAGCTACAAGCACTTGGGTGTGCACCTGCACACCACCAGCCTGATCAAGAAAGCTCATCAGAGACTACTTCCTCAGGCGGCTGAGGCGAGCTGGTCTGGAAGCTCAGTCCTCACCTCCTTCACCAGGTGTGCAGTGGAGAGCATCCTGTGCTCCAGCATCAATGTGTGGCATGGAGGCTGCACAGCTGCAGAAAGAAAAGCTTTGCAGAGAGTGGTGAAGGCTGCACAGAAGATGTTGGAGTCAGCCTCCCCACCATCACAGACATCTACACCTCCAGATGCCGGAAGAGAGCCACCTGCATCATGAAGGACCACGCTCACCCAGCACACACACTTTTTGCCCCACTCCCCTCAGGAAGGAGGTTGAGGAGCATTAAGTGTAGAACCACTAGACTGAGGAACAGCTTCTACCCTGAGGCTGTTAGACTCATGAATCTCTAACTAGAATAATCACTGTAATGACACTTTAAATTGGTATGTGACTTATCCATGCTGCTGATCTCTTGCTGCTGATCTCTTGCCTTTAAGCTGCTGTATTCATACCCATCTGCTCACAACAGACTCATGTTCGTGCTGCTGTTTAATATATTGTATTATTTTGCATTATTAGTGTTTAGTAGATCCTTATATACTGTTTCTTCTTATACTTTATATTTTTGCTATTTTTGGTGTAACTGGGACCTTGGGTGCACAGTTTCATTCCACCTCATGTACCACGTGATGAGAATGACAATAAATAAACTTGAACCTTGAATGTCTGTGCAGAAATAATCTTCTGAAAGTTTAACTCTTTTACTTTGGTGGCAGGTGAAATAAATAAGTTTCACGGTTAATTCATTACAGATGACGAGATTGAACCAGAATAACAAAACATCAAAATAAACATAATGAAAATTGACTGAATCTCAAATTTAAAACATATAAAATGGGGCTTATTTCACTTTATGCAAGCAGAAGGATTATTAAAAGCTCATAACTTCAGCCATTCCAGCAGCTGATCTATGATTTAAGCAGTTGTCTTAAGAGGACCAGACTTCTTCTTGTAAAATTTGACCCGATTGTGTCGGTCGGAATGAAAAAGAAATTTATAATTTATTAGTCAATTGGAGAAATTGCATTTTCAGAGTCTGGGGACTTTTGAAGAAATTTGCTGAATGAGCAGCAGCTTGTTGTTAAATCAAAAAGAAGCCAGGCACCAGTTAAAAGAAAACTAATGCGAGCCCACAGCTGAAAGTAACAAAATGCTACTTGAAACTAAAATGTGGTAAAACATTAGCTAACTGCAAAATGTTATCTAAAAGGTAAAAGTAGCAAAATGCTACTTTCTTCTTCTTTTGACATTTCCCTCTTCAGGGTCTCCTCAGCGAGTCATCCTCCTCCATCTCACTCTGTCCTCTGTGTCCTGTGTCCTCTGTCCTCACTCCAACTTTTCAGACTTTTCCTGGCAGCAGCATTTCTAACATCCTTCTACCACTCACTGTCCCTCCTCTGGACACGTCCAAACCACTGTCCCTCCTCTGAACATGTCCAAACC